GCACAGGTTCGCCCAAATAAACAGTTAAATCCCAACACGAAGTCTCCTGTCTTCGGCCACGTCACGACCCCGTGACAATATGACGAAACTTCTAAATCGTGCAGTTGAGCTGCAGTATTCGCGGGAGTCTTCTAGGCCTACCACAACTCAGGGTTACGCGACGAGCAGGAATGTCACTATAAAGTCATTGGTTGAGAGCCACATCACTGTTTGCTCTATCGCTGTCCGTAGTGGTGCTGGAAAAACAGCGAAAAACCGCAAGGAGGCACGACATTGCCTACTGGTCTCCCAGGGCCTTGGGCCGAGTGAAATGGGAAATACGGCAATACTTATGCAACGCCATGTCAAACATTGCTTTTTATTCATATTGCAAGGCAGTGGTATGATGTCATGCGTTACGGTTCTCTCAGATTACGCGACCACAAGCTTTTTAAGTACAGACTCTCTTAAGGTTTTCATCAATATATCCATCAGTCATTCATGTTCAGAAAGTGTCTTCGAAGACTGATATTTTATTGGCAAATCATTCCCGGCTGCTACTTTTATGCTATAATTTGATATTTCTTTTTTAATATGAAAGGAAAGTGCGTCAGGGGCCGGCAAACTTTGTTGTTAATGGTTCACTACTGCACATATGTGATTTTGTTGTACTTTTGTCATTTAACTTCTATCAAGGTAAGAAGCACAAAAGCAATATCTTCATTGTGGAAAGACATTACCCGTCGAGATTGTAAGTTACATTGCCGTCAACAACTCTGTCACCAGGGGATTCTCCATTTTTCTTACATTGAAGTGTAGCAATGGGCTGAAGCTTAAAGTACTTCATATACTTAAATACCGCTGTTGGCTTGAAACGACTCCTAGATCTGATAAATATGCACCTCGTTGTTAACGTAACTATGTTTCCAAAATGACGAACTGAAATGGAGCAGGGGATGAGTGAGTGTGGTACTGTGATAAGGCACTGCACAATGACTGATAGTAGGCAAACAGGAGGCTTCCGACTAGATTTAGATGCAGTATCTTCTTACGAAATAGTGGAAAATAATGCATACCTCAGAGTGTAGGAAAACAGACTTCAGACTTTGCAAGATTTGTAGAAGAGAGCTTGAACACCACACCGTACCTGTAAAATCTAAGATCACAAATTGTATGCAGACAATTGCTTCTTGCAGGGTAGTGGCCACTCAGAATTTGAACACATCTATTACTTGATTCCAGTGATCATGTAACCAGTGGTTTTCAGAGCCGCCTGCTGATTTCTTTAATTGCAAACAAGCCACCAGCATCAACGTTTTTTTAATGTCGTAAGAGGCCATTCTTACATTTTCAAGTAGGCTTGTGCGAATACTTGAATGCTTCGAATATTCGAACGAATAGTAGGGTATTCAATTCACTTCGATTCGAATTTAAATTATTGAAAATTTCGAGGTATTCGCAAGGAACGAATAGTTGCATGAAAATCCGAATGTACCGCTTGTAAAGATTGTTTCGCTGCGGCGTAGGGGTGCTTAACCATGAAAGCACCTCTCCAGGAGAAACCTGGTCTGCCGCGAAGCCTCCTTCAAATTTAGGGGGCCCTGCAATGCTTTTCGAGCATTGTCAGAAATCGCTGCTGATCAGTAGTACAGGCTACAGAGATTGCGTGAAACAAATGTTATAGCGCTGCGCGGAGCCCGTAATTCACAACAAATTATTGATGTCAGCTAAAAATTGCTCTCTTCTTTCGGCTAATGATGCCACAAGCTCAAAAAGTATGCGTGACATAATTTTTTTGCGCGAGCCATCCCTCCCGCTTCCAACGCTTTCGTCGAGATGAGAAAAAAGAACGCTCTTGCAGCATGCGACAGATTTTCGCAACTACACTTGTACTGGATGAATTCTAAAAATTTTTGTGGCAGTGAATTCATGAGACAATAAGCTTCTTTAGAGAATCCATTCCATGGCTACTTAAAAAAGTGTTGAAGTGCCCCTTCAAACGAAAATATTACCCTAAAATCAGTTCATTTTATTTAGCTTAACAGTTTGTTATAACAGCCTATACACTCCAAGTATAATAAATTTGAAAATGTTGAGTATTTTACGGGTTATGACTCGCACCCTGCCGAAAGTAAAATCCTGCTACTACTCAAAGTTGTTTCGACTTCCCTTGATGAATAAAAAACGGCATTTGCATACAGCCCCTTGCTTCAGTTTTTGACAAATATTATGAAGGCTAGAGTAAAACTCAACCTTCTACCCACTCCCTCTGTTCCCTTGAGCAGAGCTCTCCCAGCTGCGTAGCGGCTGTTGCTACAGAAGGGAGTGGAAGGTTGGTTGCTTCTCGGTGTCCGTCTTGTTTTGTCGTAGCTGCTGCTGCTTGTTCAGAGATGGAAGCCAGCACATCTCAAACGTGATAACAACTCGATTTTATATACACAAACTTATGTACATATTTACAAGACTTGACCGCCGGAACCGTCGCATGTTGCCTCGGCAGAGCCGATAGTGCAGAGCACTCCTTGTTGCGACCAGAACAGCCGCGAGGACTCGGAAGCCAGGTTTTAATACCTCGGTTGCCCCTCCCAATTCTCCTCCCGGCCAACCAAAGCAATTTAGTCTGTTTATTGGACAGAAAACACACTTGTTGCCGTCCCCTCCTCTCCCTCTCTTCTTCCCGCACTCGACTGCTCGATCGGAAAGAGAGAGACGAACGAACCGGCCTGTACACCACGTTCCGCGAACTGTGCGAACACACACAATGGTGGCGTCGTTCGGCTGCGAGCCCCCTCCATTACCGCGGGATGACTACGCTGTCCAGCGCGACAGCTGTCCCGCGGACTCTAAACCTGACGGATGGGTGGCTATGCACTGTTCTCACGTCACCCGCCGGCATTCCGCAGTTTGGGGACCATTTAGTGGGTTTCTAGAAGCCACGACTGACCGCGTTATTCTTGCCAGAGGGGGCGCGCTTACACCGAGATTATCGTTTCTCCAGAATGGCTTTTTGGGAAGCGCGCCCTTTTGAGACCGAGAAGACTCGCTTCCATGGCCTGCACCGCCAGACCTTACAGCTAGTTAGGTCATGACAGATATGCTCAATTTTTTTATGTCATATGCTATTCGAATTCGATTCAAAATTATTCGACCAAAATCATTATTGGTTTCGAATCTAAAATTAACTATTTGCACAAACCTACTCTCAAGGTATGCATATTTTTTTCTACTCACATTGTGTCAGCGTATGACTTGAAAAAGCACTATCACCAAAAGTGAGCTGTCATTGTCGAACTTCTTGTTTTCCAACTGTAGCACACTTTGAAAAACATATCTTACAAGGTGAAAAGCTACAATGAAACTTTTAAAAAGAATTAAAAGACAGCGAGCCGGAGTTGCCACGAGGCCACGTGTCAAATTCTGAGGAGCCTCAAAAATGATGATTATCCTTTTGCAGTCTGAACCTTTTACCCGCTTTCCAGCTCTACCGGTCTGAAACTATTTTACCAGTTTCTAACATCGCGACCAAAAACACGAACTACGGTAGAAAAACTCATAGGATATTTATTTTTCCTCCTGCAGTCTGCAGGAAACTCCTTTAGCAATATTCGGACAATGTATGATACCACTCAAAGCATTCTTTTGGATGCAGGCTAGGGTTGTTACTGCAGTTTTTGCAGAAAAACAGAAGTGTTGTCTCCACCGCCGTCATCATCGTCACTCAGCCCTGTCAAATCACTGCCTGGTGGAGACATGTCATTCACTGCCTCACTAATGTCATCCTCACTTTCGCTGAAAGCACCACCGTAACACGCACGTGGTGAAAACGTGCCCATGCTTGTCAGCAAACTGGGCCCGAGTGGGTATGCTCTAGGATCTGTGCTCAGCATACTGCTGCACCCTAGTGTAAATAAAAATGTAAACCTCAACAAACTAAGCTCACTCATTCGTCAAGAGATGGCGCTTCTTGCATTTTAAAATGTGCGTGACTTGCAGCGGGAAAACCGCGAAATTTATACCACGAATGCACTTGTCTGGCGGCGCCCGACAGCGGACCTATACGGCCGTGTTGCGTTGTCGGGCAGTGCCTGATAATGGAACACGGTTGCAATAATTTCTTGACACAATGCAACACGTTGCCACACAATCGCAACACATTGCAACACGTCAGGCAGGACCGCAGATGGTTATTAGTCTACTGCTATGAGGAATAAAGAAAAGGAAATCACATTATACATCATAGCATTGTAGGGTCTTCATGTTGCATCGTGTGTCTTGTCTGTACTGGCAACCATTTCTTTTTGCATGGGCCATCCCTTACTGACAGCTGCAATACAACCTTTTCTGCTTCTTTCCTTTGTCAATCACCTTCAGGATGGTCACAGCTATGGCAGGGAAGTGTGGCTCGCACAGGTGGATGTTATGAGGCATTGTCTTTTGCTGCATATCTGACGGAGGACAGACTTTTTGGGTTTAGCAAGTGGGCCGGGGAAGCTAGAGTCTAGGATGCCACTCCAAATCTGTGTCTGTGTGTGCAGATAAGATGATAGTCTTAAAAAACCTGACTTTTTATCACATTCATTTACAAACTATAAGTACTACAGTCTAACACCATTTATAAGAGGCACTGAGCGATGTAAGAGACAAATGGGTGTAAAAGACACAAGCATGTCTGCATTGAAGTAGTTGTTCATAAGGAAGCGTATATGTGGTACCCTGCTTGTGAGACACCTTATATAAAAGACAAAGAATTCACCCGTTGCATATCTCTTATAGATGGGTTCAACTGTTTTTAATTTGTGGGGTTTAACGTCCCAAAACCACCATATGATTATAAGAGACACCGTAGAGGAGGGCTTTGGAAATTTCGACCCCTGGGGTTCTTTAACGTGCACCCAAATCTGAGCACCTGGGCCTACAAATCCGCCTCCATTGGAAATGCAGCCGCCACAGCCGGGATTCCATCCTGCGACCTGCGGGTCAGCAGCAAAGTACCTTAGCCACTAGACCACCGCGGCGGGGCGTTCAACTGTATGCCGCGTTATAGTCCCTCTTTCTGAAATAGCGCAATAAAAAATCCTATAGTGTCGACGTCGTAGTCGCAGCCTTCTTTAACCAAATGCACTCCTTCAAACCTCTGTACGAGGCGCCGCTGGTCTTCGTCCAAACCAGCTCCTGCTCGACCAGTGCCACCAATGTGTGGTTTCTGTAATCGGAAGATTAATAATGCCCCGAAGTCAAGGTCAACAGTTAGTAGTACTCTACAGGTGAACCCTGATATATTGATATAATAAAAGGTTTTTACGTATATAGGTGTCCTGAAACTTGTATTGCAAGTGATAATTAAACCACGAATTCGCAAAGGTAAAATCAAACTAGCATGCAAGGGATTTTTAAAAATAAAGATGTATAAAGAAGAAATAAATGCAGGGTGCGAGTAGAGAAATAAGATATGACAAAGTTTGCAAGATAGCACGGGTATTGCAGAACCAAGAAAAAGAAAAAAAAGGGCTTGGCAGTCAATGCACAATGCTACTATATCCCTGAAGAGTGTTACGTTCCACTTGGCTGGCTAAGAAGTTTTAAAGAATGATAGCAATCAGGCTAATTAGTCGAGGTCCACAATTTAGTTTTTGTAAACAGAACAATGAGAACAGTAGCACTTCAACCCCCAAGTATATTGCAGCTGAAAGTTCTTCAGTTCGGCAAAAGTTCTCCTGATCCAGTTTGTACTTTCGTCTTCCAACTGCCCTTATGGTTGTATGTCGGGAAATTCCAGCGCAGGCAATTGTACTTCTCTATATAACTTTCTCTGCATCCTGAATTTATCAAGAGGTTTGAGAAAAACTAATTTCTTTTTCTGTCTTGATGTATACTGAACACCATGCATTTTCTAACCACAGTTATTTAGATGTGTTTGACAACAATTTCAATATGACAAAGAGCTTCACTGCTGTAGCTAAGGAAGAGAGGCTAGGAAGGAAATCTTGTGGTCCCAGCGGTCATGCAAAAGAGTTGCACGCAGGTCTTGAGAAAGCGTTTTTAGGAAAGCGTGCTGCAGAACGGAAACAAGCCACTGAAGCATAGCAGTATATTCCTGAGCAGCTGCAGAGGAAGGGTAGACGACAGCATAAAACTTGAAGGATGCTTTGAGCTACGCCTTCAAAAGTAGCTTGTTATAGCGTAATTGAACACGGTTTCGCCTTCTCAAATGCTACACTGATTTCACTTCTTGGCAAACACATGAACCATGCCGCAAGGAAAGAAACATCTCAGCGCCTGTGATTTGGCTGTTTCAAACTTATCCTAAAATACCTACAACAGACATGGTTGCAAAGTGGCCACTGTGACACAATTCTTTCCTAAGCAAGTTGGTGAGATAGCACTATACATCCGTAAGGCAACCCATGCACCTGTGCGGCTGCAAATGTTGATGCTGTTGTTCACAATGTAATAATGAGTTATGGATGTGTGATGGCCCGTTAACCCTTTACTGCTTAGTGTCACGAATTTGCGACATATGAAAAGACTTCCAGAAAGCAAGTCACAGAATGTGTGCCGCCTTTAAAGGGGCCTCGAAACACTTTTTCGAGCAACCATAGAATGGATTCACTAAAGGACCTTATTGCCTCACGAATTCAGCGCCGCGAAAATTTCAACGCCAAGCCCATGCGTAGCAGTGGAGTGGTTGTGAAGAAAAAAAAAGTGAAGGGTAAAAAATCGAAGGACACTTTGTAATCTAGAAGAACCTCTTCCTGGGCCAGTTGGTGCGTAAGCTTGCTGAACATGTTATTTGTGGCTCAAATCTTGGAACATGAAGATGGGAAAGAAGAAAGACACATCTATCTTTCTCCTTTGCCATTTCAGGATTCCAAGCTTTCTGCCACAAATCACACTTTGTAAATTTCAGAGTGTGTTCAGTGAATGTGAGCACCCATTGAAACGGGGTAAGTCAGAATGGAATATCATGCATGCAGGTCTTGCCTCTTTGCATGTGGGCACACAAGGCACACCGACACAACCGGTGTTCGTGTTGGCATACCCCGGCGGCCACCTGGCACCATGCCAGTGAGTTTAGCTTAGCTATAGCGTCTGCAGCCACCTGTGGCCGCAAGTTTCAGCTTCGCTGCTTAGGCATTTGTACAAAGTGCTTGGGAGGTGATATTTTATTTGCTGTTTTGAAGAGTGTGCAATTTGGAAAATGCATTTACCAAATAGGCATGTAAGTCAAATAGCACGAGTAGGAGATTCAGTTCACCGCCAACGTGTTCCTTTTCCGCTGCAGCAAAACACTGTTACACTGAAGTGAGGGATGAACATATTTTGTTAATCAAGGTTAAAAACACATGGCAAGTTAATAAAATTTACACACTTAATTATATTTTGAATTTTGTCTTACTGAAGTTCCTCATATGTGTTGAAGTTTAACAGAATACAATGTGTTGTGATAAGAGCGCCAAAGCAACTATAGCTTCTTACCTGTTGAACTAGATGGATTTGAGGGAAACCGTTGAAGAGCCCAAGCAACAATGGCTTCATTCTCAGCAGTTGACAGGCTGCATGTGCTGTACAACAACAGGCCGCCGGGCTTGAGAAGCCTCACAGCCTGAGCCGGTATGGCAAATGAGTCAAATCAATATAAAACACAAACACAATTTTCATTGCTTCGCTCTCTTCTTATATGTTTATTTTCACTTAATCACAAAAAACCAGTTCTGCAGACATTCCCTTTCGTGTAATGCATTCTTTCCGAAAAAAAGCATTTTACAAACCTGGTGCTCGTTATGTATCTGCATAATTCAACATAAAGTATTAAACTCAACAAGAGAAGAGTTCCTCTAGGTGATGACAACGCAATAACATGTTCCTAATCACCCACTGGGCTTTTCATAATTCTTTTAATCGCTTGATCAGACTTTTAATTACTTTTCTCTATCCTCCGCTCTCTCATGAATGTTGCTGAGCATAACCAGCAAGGTTCAATGCTGTTTAATGGCCTATATAAATACCATTCAAATCAGCGTCTCTAACAGAACATGGCCTTTTTTTCCATTGGTATCTGCATCTGTATCACTTAGGCATGATTTGTCCTGACGTGTCTCTTCCTTTGCTTTCCAAACATTGGTCTTGTATGGTAAACCAGCTTTGACCAGAACAGGGCAGATGAAAATTTTCAAAAAGAAGAGAAAAAACATCATACCAGTCACAAATGACAATGTTTTCCTAGTGTTAGACATTAAGGGTTCATCAGTAGGAGAGTTGCACATTAGGAGCCACATTTCTAGATCAGCCGAGGCTCCAAGACAGGACTGCGACTATAAAAAGCATTAGGGGTGAGGAGATGCACAGCTCTTACGGGACCGAAACCTGCACCACAAAGGCCAATACTGTTTCTGTACATGTGAAGTGATATTGCTTTAGCTCACTTCAATGAACAAAGCTTGTGCATATCAGCTTGGGAGACATGGCTAGCGGTGCAAGTACGCAATACTCAAGGAGACAAGCCACCCTAGACTCAGCAACAGTGACAGGCTTCTGAGTAACGACCCCGTAAGTTATACATAATAAAATGACTACATGTTAATGATAACTAACAGAAAACGATACAAGGTATAGGGAATGTTATTATGAGTAACTGTAATGGAAATGTGAAGAAAGAAAAGTGGATGAAAAGATAGGTTGCCGATGGCAGGGACCAGACCTGTGACCTTCAAATAATGCATCCAATGCTCTACCACTGAGAAACGACGGTGGTTATCCCTCTGTCCACTTTATTGGATATACATGTACACCTAAACGTGGGAACTCGCTGGTAGAGCAGTGGACTATCGTCCACAGCGGGGTTCTATGGTATCCTGTGTTTACCGCTAGTTTAAAAGGCCCCCGCTAGCTTGTTTGGTTATTTTTTTTTAATTTTCTGTTTGCACAGAGTTTGAATAAGTGAGGTTTGGCTGCATTACAGCATGCTATAATAAACATTCACCTTTGGTAAATGAAATACGCCACAAACTAACAATGCACAGTGAAAACTCGTTAATTCACACCTCATTTTTTCGAAATTTTGGATAATTCGAAATGGTCACCGCAGTCTGGTCCACAGTGCATAGGAGACCATGTGTAAAACGACTCGTTAATTCGAACAGAAATTGCTGCCTCTACGGATAATTCGAAGCGCGCGCTGCCGAGCGTCATCATCGTCAAACACTAGTAGAAGCTTTTACGGTCGAACGATAGGTGGCACGACCAATTTTTTCGAGCTTCAAGTGGCCTTCGAGCAAAGGGCGAGCAAAGTATGGCCTCCAAAATCCAGGGAGAATTTTTTTTTTTTTTTCGTAGCCCTCCCGCTATCTCAGCGCCTGGCGCCACTAGTACGCGGGACCCACGCGAGACCTGGTAGGTGTTCTGTGACGCGCGGGACGCAGCGCTGAGGAGTCGGCGGAGTAGTCCTAGCAGTCCTAGGCCGCTCCCGGCAGCGTCACTTTGTTCCTTGAGCGCGTTGTTCGTTCACGAATGATTTTGTGCGCGGGCGACAGGAAGGACTTCGGCATTACGCTGCTCACTGCCATGCACATGTTGGTGCGCGCATGGGAACAGGTGACCGCGACCACAATCGCAAACTGTTTCCGCTACAGTGGATTTGCAGCTGGAAGTGCGCAGGATAGTAGTGACGTCGACGTGGATGGGGCTGAGGAGCTCATGCCAGTGGCATTGCGCGACACTCTTCGAGGCGTACGTTTTGCCGATTATGTTGAAGTTTACACCGGTGCATCGGTGTGTGGTGCCCTGACTTATGAGGACATTATCGCTCAAGTAGCCGGTGCGCAGCCTGATGCTGAAGAGCCAGAAGGTGAGGAAAACGAAAATGACGAAGCGCCTGTGCGCCCGTCAGCTTCTGCGGTGATGGAGGCACTTAATGTGGCGCGTCTCTTGTTCAGCTTTGAAGAAGGTGAAGAGGATTCCCTGCGCCGCGTCCGTGCGCTGGAACAGAGAGCCGCAGCTGTGGCATTCAGAGAAAAGAAGCAGATGGTCATCACCGACTTTTTTGGCCAATAAATATTTTTCGTGACCCCACCCCCGAAATCCACCCATTTTTGCTCACTTTCATTATTTCGAATTTTGTTTAATTCGAAATTGCTCAGCGTTGCCGTGGAATTCGAATTAACGAGATTTTACTGTATATGGTGAACAGGTTTAACAGTTTGCTGTATTAAGATCTGGAATGCTATACCCTTTGAAATAAGTGTCTTGATATTTAACTAGCACACAAGAAAAACTCTATTTAGAAGAATGTTAAAATTTATTAATGACTGGTCATGTTTAATGAGATGACTGTCCTAATTTTAGTATGTCCGTAGAGGTCATTCTTTTTTTTCGTTCTTTCTTCTTTTTTTTTCCTTCTTCCTGCACTGTAACAGTTTTATTTTTTCTTTGTTCTTTGTGTGGTTATTTCATGTACTGTACTGCTTTTCAGATTCATTATTAGATATTACCGTATTTGCTCGCATAATCGAGCCAATCGCATAATAGGTGCACCCCCCCTAGTTTGGTCGGGGAAAATTCGATGTTTTGAATTCCGCGCACAATAGGCGCACCCTGAACTTGTCCGTGATCAGAAACGATTCTACCCCCCAGCGGTACAGTTAGAATGCGGTCCCCTTATCCTGAAGAAAAAAAAAAGGCATAACGACATGCAAATAAAAAAATTCGAAATGCAATGACCTAACCAATGTGTTTGTCGAAATAAAACTTGAAAAAAAAAAAGCGTCCATGAGCAAAAAAAAAAACGGCTGTTCTATCAATTACTGATATACCCCCAAATCGCCGCGCTCCTTGGAGGTCACGTGTACAGCGCCGGGGGCTCGATCGCCATCACCAGCACCAGAGAAAAAGAAAAAAACGCCATTTTGCAAGTGATGTGGGTATGCTGTCGTGTATTCAACTTTGGTTCCACCATGGGGAAGTACGCAAACTACATGCCTGAATTTAAACTGTAGCAATGCAGTACGCGCTGGAGCCCGGCAACCGGGCTGCAAGCAGGCATTTCGGTGTTGGAGAAACCAGTATTCGGTACTGGAGGGATCAAGAAGAAAAACCTAAAGCGACAAAGAAGACACGATGGGCTTTCCATGGTGGCAAGACCGGCAGGTATCCGAACGTCGAAGAGCAAATGGTGTGGCATATACGGGAGCTATGACAAGACGGCTGTGCTGTGTCATTGGATATTGCGCAGACTGAGGTGCGCAATATAGCCCCAGAGCAGCGCATCGAACCAAAAGAGTTCGAAGCCAGCACCGGATGGACAACTCGTTTCATGCGGTGCCGTGGCCTCGCACTGCGAAGGCGGACCACCATGTGGCAGCGCTTAACCGCAGCATATGAGGACAAAGTGGTGGACTTCTACCGTTTTGTTATAAACCTCCAACAGCAGAAAGACTTCATTTTGTCCCAGATTGGCAACGCTGATCAGACCTCCCTTTGCATTGATATGCTGCAGAAGACGACAGTGCAGGAGAAAGGTGCACGGAGCGTCATCCTTAGAACATCTGGTGTTGATAAACAACAATGCACCGTAATGCTGGCAGTGACAGCGGATGGGTGCAAGCTACCACCTTACGCTAGTTTTAAACGTAAGACGCTCTCAAAGGCAAATTTCACTCAAGGCATCTATGTTAGAGTCCAGGAAAAAGGCTGGATGAGCGCGGAACTCATGGTGGATTGGGTGAAAACAGTCTGGGATGGCGGCCAGGTGGTCTGTCGTTCCCTTCCATGCTTTTCCTGGACAGTTTTCATGTGCACTTAGTATACCGCGTACAAGATGAGCTAAAGGATCTGCGCACAGATCTGGCAGTGATTCTGGGCGGCCTCACCCCGATACTGCAGTCTTTGGACATGCCCTTGAATAAGCCTTTGAAGGACAATGCTCGAAAGCTGTACACCACCTGGATGGCTGGAGGACAACATCAGCTGACTCCAGGTGGTAAGATTAAGAGGCTGCCTGTGGAAATGCTGTGCGCTTGGATAGTGGAAGCATGGCAGGCGATCTCCGACGAAGTCGTCAGGAAAAGCTTCAAGAAGACAGGTATCTCGAAGGCCCTGGATGAAAGTGAAGACGACATAATGTGGGGTGCAGATGATTCGGACACTGAAAACGAATCCCCGCTCGGCAAGGATGAATGTGTTGTGCTCTCCGACTCGGACTCCGAATAGAGAAAAAGAGGAACACCTACGACTTTTGCGTCAATAAAATTTACGTTCATTAAATTTTTGTTTACTAAAAGCTACATAGGTATGTTTGTTTTATGCTGAATTAATTTATTGAATGATAAAGTTGCCTTTTACTTGACATATGTGCAGATTTAAAGCGCAAAAACAGAGTAGAAAAAATGTTCGAAAATTTTACCTTCCATAATTGGCGCACCCCTAACTTCGAGCCGGATTTTTCGAAAAAAAAAAAAAAGCGTGCCTATTATGCGAGGAAAGACGTACATACGTTTTTTAGGTATGTTTTTTCAAATTGCCCCTGTAAATTGTATCTTTCCAGAACCAAACTACCCAATGGCTATGGGTCCACACAGTGTGCGCAAACTTTATGAAACAATTGTGATCAAAAAAATTCCAAATCCCCCCCAAAAATGTCAGCGACATTTCAGATCTAACATGCTATACAGAACAACTACACATTGAAACAACAAAATTGGGTCAGAGATACGACCTTTCCAACTTTTATTTGGTAAGGTTGCCTGATATCAAAGGTCTAATGCCAAGAAGTTTTCATTTGAGGTGCCTGGAATTGAGTCAGTAGTTTTGATAGCTCCTTAATTTATATGTCTCCCAGTTCAACTTTTAAGAAGGCTAAGGCATGGAAATAAGGCAGGCACATACCATGTTGCCATTCAACTAAGCGGAAACGATCTTTCAGTAGAGGAACATCAGTAGAGGAACATCAGCTGCAGAGCTGAGAAACCCACCATTTCCAAAAGCGCCCTCTGCTGAGGAGGGTAAGACTGAAGTGCCTTTGCCGACTGCTCGTAGCTCAGACGAGGCCTTCCTCCAAGGGCGCTGCAAGGGGCGTCTAGGAGGATGCGGTCAAACTGGTCGGGAATCTCTGTACCTGCATGCATGCACAGAGCGGAAAAAAAATTAACACTTGCAGTAAAGCTAATAATGATAAGTGCTGGGGTTTAAAGGGGCACTAAAGGCAACTATTAGGTCAATGTTGATTGCTAAAATAGTAATCCAGAAACCTCGTAGTGTAACTTTTGTGCCTAGAAAGGGCTTATTTTGAAATAAAACCATGTTTTAATGGTCCGCATCAAGTTAGCGCACTTCAATCTACCGTATTTACTCGCGTAATCTTCGCACTCGCATAATTCTCGCATCCCTCACATCACCCAACCAAAATATGATTTCTTTTTTTTTCTTGAGTAATTATCGCACCCCCAAAAACTGCCGTAATAATGTCGTCTGCTCATTCAACCACTGATGATGATAGCACGCGCCATCTGGCGCCAGCTCTTAAGCATCCAGCGTACTATTGCACAAATATTCAATCCAATCCAAGCCAAGCCGAAGTGGCCAGTGTGCGTTGCGGCCTGTTTTGTATGTTGTGTCGGTAATCTTGTCACGCTATGGGACGATACCGAAGCTACACGGCTGCTTTCAAGCTGAAAATGATAGATCACGCACTAAACAACGGCAACAGGGCCACCGGTAGGCCCTTCAGAGTCTAGAAATTTTGTGTTCGCTACTGCTGAGGGCAGCTGAAAGCCACCAAGATGCGTTGTGCCTTCCGTGTGCCTAAAACTGGGATTGATGGTAAACTTTATTTCTTCAGAAGGAAACTGCAGACGATTTTCTTACATAGCCATTAGCCCAATACTGACGTCTTACGCTTACCTTTTGAGGGCTCCTGATCAGCGACAAACGCTACCGCTACGCCCGCAATGACCATAAGCTTTGCATATGGTATTCTAATTCTTGACTATTTGCTTTCACTTTCTGTGTCTCAAATAAATCTTTGTGTTGAACTTGTGCTTTTGATTGATTTGTAGGGTTTAACGTCCTAAAACCACCATATGATTATGAGAGACGCCGTAGTGGAGGGCTCCGGAAATTTTGACCACCTGGGGTTCTTTAACGTGCACCCAAATCTGAGCACACGGGCCTACAACATTTCCGCCTCCATCGGAAATGCAGCCGCCGCAGCCGGGATTGAACTTGTGCTTTTATTGTTGAGGTAAGTTTTAATTAGTGCTTCTCAAAGCTTGCTGTTAGTTGCTGGTGTGAGAATCCTGATTTGCGGCCACTTCGTTTTCCTTCTCGCACTGTATGTTTTTGTGGAATCTTTTCCCCGAGTGTACCTTCACGTAACATTTTGGTGGAAGGTGCTGGGTTACAACGCACGACGGAGTTACACAGCGGACGCCTAGTCGCTACTTCCGACATGTCCACCGGCAGCAACGCTTCCTCAACTGTCTCACCCAATGCATCAATGGCACCGACCTCCCCTGTTTTTCTCGTGGCCGCTCCACCCCGCGATCCCGGCAACTTTTCGGGAACGGAACCCAAGGACGTGGATGAGTGGCTAAAACTCTACGAGCTCGTCAGCGAAAACTACAGGTGGGACCCAACCTTGATGCTGGCAAACATCATCGTTTATTTGCAAGGAACGGCCAAGGCGTGGTTTAATAACAACGTGGACGCGATCACGAGCTGGGACGTATGCAAGACCAAGTTATGCGAGTTGTTTGGTCAATCTGCCGGCTGCAAGCAGACCGCTAGGAAAGAACTTGGCACACGTGTTCAGACGTCCACGCAGTCCTACCTGGCGTAGGTACAAGATGTGCTGACCCTTTGCCGTAAAATTGACCGAATTATGGCTGAAGCAGACAAGCTAGCGCACGTGCTCAAGGGCATCGCAGACGATGCATTTAACCTCCTTGTGTGCAGAGGCTGTTCCACTGTGCAAGATGTTATCTCAGAGTGCCAACGCTTTCAAGAGGCTAAAAGCCGTCGCATTGCCCACCACTTTACGCGCCTTCCCAACACTGCTGCGACGTCAACTTGCAAGGATCTTCGTATAGCGACCCAGCCCAATTCACACTCCGGTGACATCACGAGAATCGTACGCCGGGAAATCAAGGCCATATCACCTGCACACTTGAGAGCAATGAGAATCGTACGCCGCGAAATCAAGGCCATATCACCTGCACACTTGAGAGCACTAGCACCGAGTGATCCTCATCCGACCATTTCGCTAATACAGACCGTTGTTCACCAAGAACTAGCCAACGCGGGTATTCACACGGTCTGTTCTGTGCACCGTCCCGACGCTGTCAGTTCATCTACCTCCAGCCTCCCACAGCATTATCGCCGCCCTGCTCCACGTAACCGTGACCCAAATGCATGGAGGACGCCTGACGACAGGCCGATTTACTTTCGATATGAACGAGTGGGACACATTTCCCGCCATTGCCGAAGCACGTGGACCACACCGTATCGGGCAAACTCAAGCTTCTCCAACCTCCACTCACGAGCCCATCTCTATGGCCAGGAACTACCAGGGCGTGATGGCTCAGCTAAGTACGAACCGACCACTACGACCACTGGCCAGTACAGTCGCTCACGTTCACCTCGACGTAGATTTTCCCTGTCCCCATCCTCTGGCCGGTGGTTTTCTTCGGAAAAAAAACTAACGGCTGCCGCTCCTGGAGGTGACGCTGCTGATACGACTTGCTCTCCAACTCCTCCGTTGACGCTGCCGACCAATCGGAACCTAATCGACGTTGAAGTGGACGGTTTATCTGTTAAAGCCTTGGTGGACACTGGCGCCCATATTTCTGTGATGAGCTTGCACATTCATGACCGCTTAAAGAAAGTCCTTACTCCAGCCCCTTCACGCAGTGTTCGTGTTGCTGATGGTGGTACGGCTTCTGTTATTGGCGTCTGTACTGCACACGTCACTATCACCAGCTGTCAAACTTCAGTTCTCTTCACTGTTCTCTCTCATTGCACCAATGATGTGATCTTCGGTCTTTACTTTTTGTCCACTCAATCTGCCCTCATTGACTGCTCGGCTGGTACTGTGCAACTTGACCTACCGTGTCCGATTGATCCGCCCAGTCCACTCCAAGCTCGTATGTGCTCTGCTGAGCATGTCCGTTTGTCACCGCAAACTGTGACATGCATCACCGTAATGCCCTCACCACCTGTATCCGATAGCAAATATGTGCTCGCGCCCATTACATTCATTCTTTTGACTCACAGTGTTACCTTACCACACACTGTTATTCAGTTATGTGCAAACTGTGCCTTCATTCCTGTGCTCAACTTTGCTCTGTGTCCACAAGTGCTCCCGCGTGGAATTGCCCTCGCCATGCTGACTCCCTCTGACAAATGCGTCATCTCAGCTCTGTTTTCGAACGATGCTGAACACTGTAGCTACACGCATGCTCGATCTTCGCAAGCAAGCCCGTCTGCTGACATTAAAAAAATGATCGCGTCAGACCTTTTGCCGCATCAAGCTGACGCACTCCTTCACATCCTTGAGTCATACTGGGACGTATTTGACTTTTGTGATTGTCCGCTAGGTCAAACCACTGCTGTAAAGCACCGCATTGACACCGGCGATGCCTCCCCTGTCCATCGACAGCCATACCGCGTATCTCCAATTGAGCGTCACATAATTCAAGCAGAAGTCAACAAAATGCTCGCCAGAGACAAAATTGAGCCATCATGCAGTCCATGGGCTTCCCCTGTAGTTCTTGTCACAAAGAAGGACAACACTTGGCGATTTTGTGTTGACTACAAACATCTGAACAAGATTACTAAAAAGGATGTCTACCCGCTACTGCGCATAGACGACGCCCTGGATTGTCTTCACGGCGCTAAGTATTTTTCGTCCATTGATCTAAGATCAGGGTACTGACAAATTGCTGTCGACGACATGGACCGCGAAAAGACCGCTTTTGTCACGCCCGATGGTCTTTACCATTTTAAGGTCATGCCCTTCGGGTTATGCAATGCTCCGGCCACCTTTGAGCGGATGATAGACTCGCTTTTGCGTGGGTTCAAATGGTCAATTTGTCTATGTTACCTTCACGACGTTATTGTCTTTTCTCCGACCTTTGAGACCCACTTCGACCGCCTATCCTCAATACTGGCTGTTTTTCGAAATGCCGGTCTCCAACTGAACTCACCATAGTGCCACTTCGGATGCCAGCAACTAACCATGTTGGGCCACCTTGTCAACTTCTCTGGTGTACACCCTGATCCCAATAAAGTGCGAGCCGTGCGGAACTTCCCCATTCCGACCTGCACAAAGGAAGTCCGCAGCTTTCTCAGTCTGTGCTCGTACTTTCGACGTTTTGTGAACAACTATGCGGAAGTAGCCTGTCCTCTCACAAACTTACTGAGAAAAAATGTCTCATTCACATAGGGTGCTGCGCAGGCTACGGCGTTCTCTACACTTATTGCATTGCTAACAGAACCACCTGTTCTGGCCCATTTTGAAAATGCCACCCCTATAGATGGCCACACCGATGCCAGTGGCCACGTAATTATTGCTGTTTTGGTCCAGCATCAAAGCGGCTGCGCCCGCGTTATCGCCTATGCCAGCCGTCTCCTCTCGCAGGCGGAAAGGAACACTCAATCACCGAAAGGGAATGCCTTGCTCTCGTTTGAGCAGTAGCGAAATTTCGGCCCTACTTACACGGTCCACATTTCGCTGTCACAACTGATCACCACGCACTTTGCTGGCTCGCATCTTAGAAGGACCCCATTAGACGCCTTGGTCGATGGGCATTACGACTGCAAGAGTATAACTACTCGGTGTCCTACAAATCTGGCCGCTTACACCATGACGCTGACTGCTTATCTCGGAATCCAGTGGACCCCCCTGAGGCGTTCGATGAAGTGCCATGTGTCCTGTCTCTCTCCACTTTAAGCAACATCCGTGAGGAACAGCGCCGAGACCCTATCTTACGTAACATCATCGAGAAGCTTCACTCTGCGGCACCTGATCTGTCTACTCAACTGTCCGTGCTCAAGGATGACCCATTGTACCATTACAACGTCAGCCCTGATGGACACGAACTGCTCCTTGTGGTACCTTCCCACTTACGTGCGAGCGTGATTGGCCAGCTCGAGGACGCTCCCACTGCCGGTCACCTCGGACTGTCTCGGACGTATGACCGTGTACAGCATCGATTTTACTGGCCCAGTCTTTATCACTCGGTCTGCAGCTACGTCGCCTCATGCGACCAGTGTCAACACAGAAAAAAAACTTCGGTGGGCCTTGCTGGGTTCTTCCAGCCACTTGACATTCCCTTTGATCCGTTCTTTCGACTTGGTTTTGACCTCCTACTCCCTTTCCTTGCGTCCACTTCTGGGAATAAGTGGATAGCTGTTGCGACAGATCACACAACCCGGTACGCCATTGCAGGGACTATACCAACCAGCTGTGTCACGGACGTTGCTGATTTTCTCCTGCACGACGTCATACTTCATCATGGCGCACCACCACAACTCCTCACAGATCGTGGGTGCTATTTCCTTTCCCGAGTTATCGATGACCTGCTTCGCTCCTGCGAGACAAAACATAAATTTACGACAGCCTACCACCCGCAAACTAACGGACTGACTGAGCGATTCAACCTGACTTTAACCAATATGCTCGCCATGTACGTATCGTCCGACCACCAGGACTGGGACGTTGCATTGCCTTTCGTTACATTCGCCTATAATTCCTCACGCCACGATGCAGCTGGTTGTACACCTTTCTATCTCGTGTTTGGCCGTGATCCAACTTTGCCGTTTGACACCATCTTTCCGATAGCCGTCGACTCGACCACCAAATACGCCCGCGATGCTATCACCAGAGCTCGAAAAGCACGAGAAGTTGCCCGTCAGCGCCTTTTAGCATCACAGGATCAGCAGCGGCACCGTTACAACTCGCATCATCGCCAAGTTTCCTTTACTCCGGGTTCTCTTGTGCTATTGTGGACTCCGACTAGGCGCGTTGGACTTCCTGAAAAACTGCTTTCCCGCTACTCGGGACCCTACCGCATATTGCGCCAGGTGACAGATGAGACCTATGAGATAGCCCACTCGAGTCTTCCTCCTCCTCCCCTTCAATGTCTACAGACATTGTTCATGTATCTCGCCTTAAGCTTTACTACTCGGCAAGATCATAGAAAGCACCGAGAGGGTGCTACAGCACCCGGGGGTTATGTTATGAGACAATGTCCGACAAAAGCGGTTAGATAGGCGCGGAGAAAGATGACTCGATTTTGGTGTAGGGCACAGCACTTGTCCTCCATCTTGGCTTGCGTGTGTGCACTGTGTAAATATATCTTCAAAAGCCTAGTTTCGCGTGTACCTTCACGTAATAATATTGTCGTTTATGATGTTCACACTGAGCTTTCACTCAGACGTAAATTGTTATTTGACTTTAGTGTCCCTTTATTGTCCCGAAATCACAATATAATTATGAGGTAACACCGTAGTGAAAGGTTGTGCAAACTTCAGCCAACTGGGGTGCTTTAATGTGCACTTATATGTAAGTACACTGGCCTCAAACATTCTTTGCCATGATTTGATGTCGCAACCTTTCGGTCAGGAGTCGAGCACCAGAACTGCTAGACCATCGTGGCAAGAGCATGTGATGAAGAGAAAATTCCGAGTGTGAGATCAGATTCACTAAATGAGCTATTTTGCTACGCGTGTTTTCAACATAAATGCAAAAAGGACATTTTCAATGGGCACTTCTCCACTTTTCCGAAAACAGTCGTCAGAAAACGGTGTCCATCTGAAATCAATGCTCCTATGAGCAAGTGAAACAGGCACCTATAGCTATGTTTTCGTAGTGATGGTTTTTTTTTTTTCTATGCCACATTGTACATCATCAAGTATGCAGCACATTTCAGAGGAGCTCAGAATACGGCAAACTCTGCCAAATAAAACAGCGGCATCTTTCACCCCTTGTTTTTTTTTCATTCAATCTGACATTGAACGTCCTCTGAAGACCGAATTACTAATAAATGACAACCGAGTCAGGCCTCCATTACAGCAATGTAGAACAAATCTTCCAGACAGACTAATTTGGGACACATGTCAAGTGTATTGCAGCCTTGAGCATGTCAGAATATAGAATTGTATGTGTGACTGGTCACACGGCATCACTAAAGATAGGTACAGTTGATAAGGAAATTGGTTTTCTAGCCACACAGTGACAATTTCATGGAAAGCTGAGCATATCGAAAAGGCTCTGCAGCACCTTTTCAAACATAGTCGGGAAACTACATATATTTGAATAGTAAATGTCAGTTTCCAAGTGCATTCGAACATAACAGTGATTTGGTCGAATATGTATCGAATATGAATAGTAAACTATTACATACATAAATAAAAGTGAGCATACTTGTGATGACTCAACTAACATGCACAATATATATTTTTAATTGAAACAAGGCATGCGTGAATGTCACTCTTTTCAGTTTGATGCAAAGTGGAAGCAAATTCCCATGCAGCAGGATGTGAATCTCAGTAGGATTTAAGTGATAACCGGTAAAATGTGTTATCTTTGAAAATTTGCTATTCTTCTAAGTACTTCAAAATTTCGAACAACACAAATTCGTTTTGAAGTGAATTCGAATATCGTAATATACTCTTTCAAATATTCAATGTGCTTGAATATTTGCAGACGTCTACAGAAAACACTACCAATCTGCAATTGAGACTCCTGGAAGCATGTGCACCAAATGCATTTGCACTGTGCGTTGTACAGGAGTTACAACTTTGTGGCAAAAGCAGCCAAAAGTCGCTCTCTCTCTCTTTGGCAATGGTGTTGTAAACTAAGAAGCAGCCAGGAGCAAGCAAGTGTGGCAGGTAGAGGCTTAATGACATGAAAAACGTGCCAGTGTAACATACATCTGAACCAGAAGCCAGAACCATCAAAGACAAGAAGAAGAGAAGATGCTCAAGGTTGTGACGTACAACGCAACTTTTAGACAGTGCCTTGCCCAGGAACATGTCACGAGGAACAGGTCAATCAGGAACATGTCATCTTAGGGGATGTGCACTCACCTTCACGTGGAAGCGAGTCAAACTCATTGGCGTCGTGTGCGAAGGTGCGAACGCAAGAAATCTGCCAGCGTTCACAGTTGCTTCGAATCTTGGACACACGGTTTGCTGACTTGTCTAGGGCAACCACTAGACCCTGAGACAAAGCAGAATGAATAAAGAATAAAACAGGGGGAAGTACAACCCACTGCACGGAACTCGCTTCGGACCTCAGTTTCTGGGTCCACTTCCATTATGTCTTAGCTTGGAACCAAGTATACAACGCTTGACTAGTGCACCCTCTCACTGCTTTACACTTCAAACACCAGAGTGGGTGTGAGTTCAGATGCTTATGATATGAGCCAAATTTCAGTTCCCTTTTAAATCACCCACTCCACACACCTGTAATAGGTAATGGACCTCAGTTCACGACTTTCCGTTTCCACAATGTCTAGGCTCAGAATTCAGTACAATACTTGACTAGGTCGCCCTATCGTCTGCAATCGAATGGTTTAGTGGAGAGAGCTGCAAGAGCCCCGAAAAAACGCGTGAAGAAACAAAGGTATCCGGCTACAAACACGTGTTTGAAGACTTCTGTTTCGTTACAGCATAGTAGTGAAAAAGGGAATACCTAGTAGAGCTTTTTCTGGGATACAAAAATAAGAACAAACATCAACTGCATCGTGCCAACCACGAAGGTAGCGAATGTCGTGCCGTGAACCGAACATCAAGAGTGATGGCATGTTGGACAGCATTTGTGGAATCGAACGTTCTAGTTGTTACTTAAAGATATGTGCATTGCAATAATGATTCAATCAGCAGAGGAATAATTTTTCATCCGTTCAAGTCTCCATATTCCCCTGAACCTGTACCTCATTTTTACTTACTAAAGAGAATGGTTAACGAATGCTGCACAAGAGTTAATGCTCTTTTGATAAGACAACCTTCTAAATGTTTACGTGCAACATTCGTTTGACGCTTTGAACAACAAATGAGTTGTGTAAAATTTAAGAAAAAAATTTCTTTCACAACGAAGTTATTTTTGGCGCAAGAAAAACGTTGCTTACTTCAACAACAGTGAATTCAACAACTTAAACCGAAGCAGCATTTATTTTTTACGCATTAATTAATCGGCGTGGACAGTCTTTCGGGCATGAGCCCACACTAATATGTCAGAAAAAGGCATGCTACACATGCTTTAACATAAATATCAAAAGCACTTCGGCGTTGCTTTCAATACAGGTCAATTTCGCCAGTGCCGCGGTAAAGCCCTCCAGCGCACAGTGTAAACATTTGCATGCTACAACGAAAGAAAATGAAAGAAACAGTTGGGAGTTTGCACTTGTGTTGTTTCGTTTTCTTTCTTTTCTTTTTCGATTTTCTTTCATTGTAGCATGCAAAAGTTTCCACTATTTACAACCAACCGGCTAATCCTCCTGCACAACACATACCGTGTCGTTCATAAGCGTTGCAATATGTGTTGTTTTGCCTCCGGGAGCAGCGCACATGTCGAGGACAGTGTCGCCAGGTTCCGGCCCCAAGATGTGGCCACAAAGCACCGAAGGCAAGTTCTGTAAGAACAGCTGCGACGGCTCCCATCCTCCAAGAGGAGGGCAACCCGACAATGGCTTTGTCATTCGCACGGCACAGCCCCTGCAACCGATCAAGAGGAGAGGGCTTATTCTATAGTAGTGGCTGTTACAACTAGTATGTAAAACTGCTGTTCGGCCTAGCTTGAATCAAATCAGAAGAGAAATCGTGGAAGCCATTCAGATTTTAAGAAACTAAAAGAGAAGTGCATCACACGCCCTTTTATTGCTTGGCCAGATGAAAAGATCTCGCTTCCATCATCACATCTTTCATGACGCTTCATCTCAGCCGATTGGTACAAGTGCATTGATATCTTCTGTTATAGTCGACATGTTGATCCATGGTATTAAGGTCACAAGTGGTTCCTGAACGCACGAATGACGTGTCATATGACAACATTGGAAAAATCGTGTTGGGTTCTTCGGGAAAGGTGTTTTCAAAAATATGGTTGTTAGACTGCGCCTGTCGATGCTTGCACCTTTCTATCGTCTTTGTTGAAAGCACAGGTGCAAAAACCTACTATGTGCGGCTAGCATCTAACACTGCTATTGCATTATTATAACAAAGTTATAATAACAAAGAAGCCTTATTATAACAAAGTTGCATTTTACACAAAAGTAAGTTCATTCTATCAGGAATTTTGTCATAAAGGTATATTCCTAACACTATGTTTATTGCAAGACTCTTCTTTATCTACTTTGTTATAACCAATATTTCTTTATATCCGGGTTAATTAAATTGAGGTGCTACTTGTATTGCAAGCACTAGTAATGTGGCGCCGAAATGCGACACTGTTCTGCGACTAACCACAGCATGCAAACTGTCAAAGACACCAAATATCTCTAGTGTGGGAATATATGTCGTACAAAAACTATGCGTGCGGGTGTGTGCTCAAGCCATGGCACACTGCCACAAAACATGGTTCATGCATAACCTGTCTCACACAGCTAGAATTTGATGTAGGTGAGAGAGAAATCGATGTGGGTGCAAGATGTACATGTCGTTGAAGCCAATGTCTACGCTTTTTTGTCCACATCTTTCAATAAATCACTAAACATCCATGGCAGCATGAACATTAACTTTAAAGGACACAAAATGCAATTGTGTATCAGGAACCATAGTGCATACATCACTACGACGCGTACATAGTTGGTCTTGGGAAAGTGGCAACGGCTTCCTGCTTTCAAGTGAAGCAAGTGAGGTCAGAGCATCAGGAATTGCCCAAAATTCTTTTTTTTTGTGTTACTATTCAAGTATCGAATCTTCGGCTCAAACACTAAGTAGAGTGAACTGCTAAAAAAAGGTGAAGTCTCGGACACACAGTGAAAAATTCGTTTCATCCAGCTGACATACCGATATAGTTCATAGCTAGTTAGATGTAATTGAAGGCGGGGAGAACAATGTGACCCCGATCACTCGGCAGCTTATGAACTTAGGACAGCAGCAAAATAAAATGAAGTGTACATCCCCATACACATTTTCCCCTCTTTGAAATGTCACAGCCCGCTGTGCTGTTTCCCCCAGTAGGATAAGAATAAATTTCTCACTTTAATTTGTTGCAAGCCTCTGAACAATCGCCAGCAAACTGAATTCTGTACAGTGGCCATTAAAAATAGGCAACAAAAAACAAAAAAGTAAAAAAAACTGACAGCACACACTCGGACACCTGGTTGACAAAGATGTCCGCCCTGGAGACCAGAGCAGTTCCATTGCCAATGAAGACTCGACGTCCCCGATATGGCCGGGTGCGTCCCCTCAGGCACTGGCCATCAAGGTCACCGTAGACGGCCACCTCTTGGCCAGCCAGCAGTCCTGCATTCCAAGTGAAATACACTAACAAAAGTAGCCCAGTACATTTGTTAGTACGGAACAAAGACCAAAGAGCTACCCTGCTTTGTCTATGTAGTCTCACCTCTTTCACTGCAGTTCTATTTCTCAATTCAATGCAGGTTCTTGGCAACAACCAGTGCATTGTTACACCTAAACATGAAAGGAATTACGGTAGGCAAAAACCACGCCTAATACTCAAGAAGAGTGGCAATTTCACCTTATTAGTACTACAACATACTGCCAGTAAAGTGCAAAAAAAAATGCAGAAAAAGTGCATGTGTCGTGATCTCCGAGTGTTCGTGCATTCATCACAGTCTAATATGCACTGTCACTAACACTTCAAGAAGGTCTAGATCCTTTCTCAGCAGTTAATTTCAACGGAGGATTAGCTGCACCAAGCATGTACTTTTCATGCTTTCATGCTGATTCTTTCATTGTTGCCTCACTGTATTAACTAAATGCAAAACGATCATGACCATCCACGAGCTAGCCAGCCCTATCCATTGCTTTACTGATGATTCGTTGCTGTGCTGTTGCTGTCTTGTAAATTCAGCTCAGAATTCGTTCAATATTTTGCCCAATGCTTCTTTCTTTGGTGCCAAAAAAAGTTACATATGTCCATATGCTGGTGTTCACTTGTGCTGCCTGTTTTTGCTGGTTACACTGTAGGTTCACTGTAATTCTAGTGCAAGCCAGTTATTTGTAGCTCTCCTGTTTGTTTGACACTGACGACAACACGACAAGAATTATAAGATGCAACGAGAAGCTAAATTGAAAGAATTGTGATGAGTACCTCCGCAGTACACAGATAAGTTGATACTGAGGGTAACGTGCTGCTCCCTAATTTGTAAGTGGAGTTTCCTTCGGAATTATTACATTTAGGTAGTTTTTGGTGTAGGAAAAGCTGGAAAACCGTGCCACATATGCTTGGAGTGTCTTCACAACAGTTTGATGGCTAGTGTTCTGATGTTATCATTTACCATAGCTTAATTAAAATAAAAATCCTGTGTTTTATGAAGCCTATTGCAACCTATTAACCTAAGACACAAGCCTCAGTAATTACTGAAGTAACTAGGCACCCGTCACACTCATGCGAGTTATGGCATCTGCAAATTTATTTTCACAGGAAATGAGAAGATGCTCCAGCACACAAGCATGACTATTGGATGCATTACACAAACAGTACTCACTCTAAAATCCTATTAGAAGTCACAGTGAATTAGTAAATGGCCCGAATTCTCGCTGAACTCCGCAGATTTTGTTCATCATGCCCACCTCCCAGCTTAGTCTGTCTTGACAAAATTTCACTTCGAAGAAAACATTTACAAGCCTGTCCTTAACTTTAAGGTACCTTTAGGAGCGGCCATGACACCAGGGATGTAGACATGCGCTCCCCTCAGAACCGCTTCAGCGCAATCTCGGCGGACCACCACCTCTCGCAGGGACGGCTTCACACCAGATGAGCTCTGACGACCCGCCAGCACCAACAAGTCCGGGACGAAAGGGTGGCAAAGGACTTGTGGTGCCAGTGCACTGTAGCTCTGGGATGCAATGAACACAGAAAAGTTTGCAACTGCGGGAACAGTATATAATCTGTGCGACAACATGTTAACCTAACAGTGGTGCATACAACGAATAAACATAGAGAAAACGTACACATATATGACCCTTGTTTTTCATGCTGTTATAAGGTAATCATAAATAACCAATGTCTGCTCTGAGAATACATGTGTTAGTCATGTAAATAAAATACACCTGTTTATATTGCATTGATAGTTTCCATTTGACAAACAGAGAATAAATAACTGGATGCAATCAAGGGTCCAGATATACAGGTAGCACGATTGATTCCACAAGCATGCCGATTTGATCAAGTGAGCAAAGTTCTCTTGTATCTAGCGAACAGTCAACTGCACTCTCAATGCTAGTGTTTCACACGAGATATTTAACAGTGGTCCCACGAGGATACTTCTTGCACGAGAAATGTAGGCAAGCACAGTACAAACACATTAAAGCAAACAGGGACACCGTGCATCGTACACGTTAAAAGAAAAGTCTGGGTGAAAACCAAGGCTTGAAGTGATAACCATATAGCTGAACCATGACGGTTGCTGGAGTCAACATTTCGACAAGTGGACTAATTTTTGTGAGTTGCCCTGAAGAAGACAAGTACAACAATCGCAAGCATGCTTCTCAAAATGCAAGCCCCACAGACCATACCCTGTTTAACAATTTCTTCAGTGGAGCTGCATAAGCTGTAGGTAAGGCTGAATGGCGGGATAGGCTTTAATGTGGTCCTTTGAAATGAGCTTTAGCACGCTGTGGGCCACTCCCTAGACTGAACAGAATGAGCAAGTCCCTGCTGCGTTGTGTCCGCACAAAACTTAAACGGTACGCACCAGATAAAGTGAGTATGTGCCAAGCGGCTCCTAGCATGGCATAGACATGCATATTACAGTGTAGAAAGAGGGGGTGGGAAAGGGCAGTGAGAGTGGAGGAAGGAAAGAAGGAGTAGGGGAGGAAAAGGAGCAGGTGAAAGGGTAAACTACAGTATAGCATAGCAAGACATGGGAAAGGTAAGTGAAGGTGAGAAGTGATGTGAGGGAGAGATGGTGATAAAGGAGGAACGAGGGAATCATAGAAAGAGATAAAGAAAGAAAGAATCAAGAAAGACACAAGAAAGAAGAGGATGCAGAAAAAATCAGAAACGAAGAAACACAAAAGAAAGGAGGGGGAAGAAGATGAAGCAAGAACTGAAGGTATTGACCAACTACTTGGCCAATCCCCCACACTGGGTATGTGCCATGCTCAAAGGGAAACAACAACAACTGCATTTGCCAGGTGGAGGCACTTGCTTGCCAGCTTTGCTGATTACTCAGATTGTGCAGGCATGGCTATAATTTTTTTCATCACACATCAAGACACGGTTTCTTGAGCTGCTTGGCCAGTGCATGTTTCTGCAGACACTTGGAAGAAGAGGCAAGTCCAGGCTACTTGAAACTCATAGCATTATATGAAAAGTGAACACAATATTGCAATCCCTCACCTCATCAAGGTGACGCTGTAGAGTATTCTTGGCGACCTCTGCAGTGATGAGGCGCGTGTTCACTCGCACCGTCGTGTACTGCGGTGGCAGGCTCAGCCAGGATTTGAGATGTGACAGCCGTTCATCTGCGTCAGCGACCTGGTAAGATTTGTGTGAGCAAGTGCAAACGTAACTTCTGAATCACAATAATGCATTCTCTCATTGAACTCGCTGCACACATGCCTACTTGAACTGGAACATCTTTTCAATACGAATAATAATTTATGGGGCACTTACGCACCAAAACCACGATATGATTAACGAGGCACACCAGCACTGGGGTCTCCTCCGGATAAATCTTAACCATTTGGGCTATTTAACGTGCACCTGATGTTAGGGAGTTCTTGAACAAGAGCTCCAAAACTTTGGGGCCCCAAATACCTTCGCGTATGCACGCACTGGGTCAAGAAAGAGCGAAGGGTTTTCGAACAGCATCTGCAGCGTTTTGGACACTCACCCAGTTCTTGGATCACTTAGTACTAGCCTGAGAGCCGTCACTTCAGTGGGTGCCGTCACGTTTGTCTGGCGCAAAGCTTTTGGGGCAGGCTTTGCGGCTCCCGCTAAATTAGAGAAATAGCGTCACCAACGAAACACCCAAACGCGGTTGGGGTTTCGCGCATGCGCAGTGGCCTCGACGCGATTTCTTTGGGTGCACCAAACTGTTGGGGCCCCTCTTCAGAAACTGCCTATTATTACACAGGTTCTCAGCACTGAATTTAAAATGGCTACGGGACTTTACACAAAAGATATCACGTGACATGTTGACGGTGATTAGACAGTCTAGCTGCTGATTTCACGTGTCACGGAATAAACTGAAAATGGTTGCATATTAGTAACAGCCGTGCTCATGTGACTGCTGGACTTTGCAAACGATGTCATGGTCGCGTGCCGAATCAATAGTGGTAAAATAACTTTCGTGGTCACGCTAAAATATTGAATGCGATCCCTCCTGCCAGAAGCAGCCCGAAAAATTTGTTGTAGCTTTTGCTATTCAAATGCTTCACAAGAGAAACTTACTCCCGCCGACTTGAACTCTTCTAGCAGCACGCTTTCGACGTCTGGATATCTCGCAAACGGGTTGTTTGAGCGTAAGTCGCCCATACTGTAAATAGCGGATCGAAACAGCGACGGCACACAACTGCAGTTTCTGAACTGCTCGAGTCGCCGCGGTAAACTGACGATCATAATAACTCGTCCACAGTCATCCCTTTCTGGGTGGGTAGAACGTGTTTACAGGACGGCGGGTTGGTGCTAAAACTATTCATCTCAGATAACCGCGAACTTTTTCAAAGACTACACTTTCAACCATGCCTTCGACACATCGCTAACATAAAACGCGGTCCATGCACCCATGCCAACTAATCTTCGACTTGCGTAGGCTTACATTGGCTGCCTGTACGCCAGTTTCGGTTTCGTTTTTGAAAGTCGTTCTTTGTATTTTGGGATTGCTAAAAGTCATAACTCCCGAAAAGACGCATAGGACACGACCGAGACGCATACGTATCTGCCAGCTGATAAAAAATATTGTCGCAGGAGGCTCCTCGAGCTCCACCATAATCTCATTTAGAGCCCCCATAATACACTGCGTCAGCCTTTGTCCTAACCCGCTACCGAGCACGTTTTTTTTTTTTTTCCTCTCCTGTATCTGTGTGTGTGTTCAATCAACAATGAACAACAAATTTTCACCACAACGATGGCTTATTTAGTTATAGGAGTCCGTATAACGTGTTTTTTTATATAATAATTTACACGTTTTCCTTCGGTCAACGTCCTCCTGAAGCAATGTTCTTGTTTGTTTGCTTATTTTTTCTTTGTTTGGAGTTAGTTATATAATTCTACAAATGGAGATTCACTGGTGTATTTGGCGCCCTAGCTAGCTTTTAAAGAATGGAATAGAATGAAAAAAAAACTTTATTTTAGCTTAAAGAAGTCCTTCCCTTTTCTAACGCATTATAGATAGGACTCATCTCTTTAATTTTATATTGTATATGAAGCGGGTCCTAACGTATATGTTGTTGGCCATATAGTATATATACGTGTGCCTGCCTGTATGTGTGTCTAGTTCCCACTTGTTTAATCACCATATGAACGACATCGGCAAAGCTCTATATAGCAATCAAGCTGTATGACCCTCGTTCCCAAGTGTAAGACGAGTGCTTCCCTATGAAATAAACTATACATCGCACCCCTTAGCATTTAGTTATAATGCTGTGTTAGCATCAAGTGTTTTCGTCTTCCGCCCCAACGCGGAACAAACAGCCATCTGTGGGGTATCTGTTGGACGCTACGTCACGCCGAAAACTCAACATTTAGGGTGAAGATGATTATAAACGACGATAAAGTATAAACACGTGAATATGATCGTAGTGTAAATCATGAAGACGTGCACAATACATAATCACAATATCAAATGCGATGCCTTTCTTATTACATTATTAGCACACCAATGGAAATTTTAATCTATCTATCTATCTATCTATCTATCTATCTATCTATCTATCTATCTATCTATCTATCTATCTATCTATCTATCTATTATTTATCTATTATTTTACGACGTTATGCTCTTGAGACCATTTTATTATATAAATTATTTATTTCTTTATTTAATATGAAGACCCTCAAGAACTGTAGCTTCATAGAGGGGAGTGTGGTTACAATGAAAAACAATTAAAATATAGAAGAATACGTATAAAATTTGGTACATTTATAGAAAATATGTTTTAAAGTTCAGGATTACCAAGAAATATTAGCTATAAAAAGATTAGCACTGCCGTCACATCTGTAACGGAAATGACCTGCTTAATGGGTCGGTGGAGCCCGGCACAACGCACATTCGTGTTATAGATATTGTCGTCCTATTGATTCCTTTCTCACCAGTGATGTTGCCAAGAGTGTAGAAAACACTCCGCAATACATGGGAGGCGATGAGATAAGAGTTGGCATTCATTAAGGTCTTCAAGAAACAGCACTCGACCTTCGAGGTTCAAGTCATCGCCGGCGTCAGAGGGGCTCCCAGGTTGATCTGCGAGGCGTTGTATGCCCCTAGCTACCGTAGACCGTATCACTGCGAATTTATAACCGACGTTGGTGCGGCCTTTGAGGCCAGCGCTATCTCGCGGGATGGTACATAGAATCGGCAAGCGAGGTATATATACAGTCTCGTCCCACGGAAAGGGGTGCGATTCAGGGAGCGAGTTGGTCTCGGCTACCGATCGACAGGCAATCAACCCTTCGGCGCAGTTGCAATAGGCACGATGATATTAGTTGGGCATTACTGAAAATAAGGAGGCTTGTTTTGGCACTACTGCGATCTTTTGTCCGCTCTTTTTCTCTCCCCCCCCCCCCCTTTTTTTTTTACGTTTGATACATGGGTGTCTAGTTTAAGTCATTGTGTAACCCCTTAGTAGTATTTTAAAACTATAAAGACTTAGTTATTCAAGCTTTAGTTTCTAGCCTGTCATAGCCGCGTTTGTTTTTGACTATGAAATTCATATTATCCCCAAATCGGCGTTGTTACTCTACCTGGCCAACCGCCCCTCTCCAGCGTCCTCCCCGAAAGTGCATATATCCTACACCGCGTTCACATCCGAACTGCTGGTGGACCTTTTCGAGTGTCTCTGTTAGAGCCGGTTTATGATGGCGATAATTGTCTATCTGCGACTCAACACAAACCTCGACCATTGGAGCTCTGCTGCCACTGCTGTAATATTCCTACAACATATACTATATGTGCTACAAAAAAATGGGTGAATCCCCCTACGTTTCAGTTTCTTGTTGACTACCTGTGCAGAATGTTTGGGCGATCACTTGGTCCATGCCGATTTATGATTGCCTTAATCAAAGCACGCGAACGATTTCCCCCCAGCGTGCTTCGAACATTGTATTTTTCTTCTGTCATTCACATATTAGCTACTGCATTGAATCGTGGGGTGTAACGTAATACGACATACCTAGAGCCATTACTACAGCTACAAAAGAGAGCCCTAAGCATAAGAGGTGGAAACCATGGAAATTCATATAAAACTACATTTCAGGAACAACAAATCTTATCAGTTTGGGCACTTCGCGAATATAAGGTTGCCCTTTTTGTTCAGAAAATTATAGGCACTAGTTTTCCCCTCTCCTCCACTCTATTTACAATACCATCGCGAAACACTAGACACGCATTGAATGGCAATTTTAACATACCTACAAGCTATAACTTATCTGGAAAACGCTTATTGGAATTTCATGGGACTAAAATTTGGAACCGACTACCCTTAGAAGTTAAAGTGGCAAGAAATTTTAAGCACAGTGTGAAATTATTTTGCTTGCAGTATCAAGACATATAAATAGGCTTTTTTTTGTGAATAGTTATATGTGAATATGTGAATAGTTATATGTATAAATATTGTGTATATATGTGTTTATTGCTAAATATGCTCTGCTAAGCTGCTTTTATGTACTCCGATATGGACCGATCACTAGCCAATGTAGGCTAACGGTCCAGATATCTTGTAATGTTTTCTTTGTTTTGTCAATAAAAATCACATTGATTGATTGATTGATTGATTGATTGATTGATTGATTGATTATGATAATTTTCACGCACGACACACGGCAAAACTCGAGCATATGAGCTCTGCTGCAAAGCTTCGGTTCCTGTGGGGTGTGGGAATCGAACCTGCAGGCCTTCATCCTGGCAAACAGTCGTTCTATACACAGCCACGTCAGTGCTTGGACCTCCTTCCGAAACTACCCTTTACGGGTGTCACGCGATCCGAGGAGTCTCTCTAACGCATGTAATATCACATGATATAAGCGTAGAATCGTGCCAGGCACAAAGACGTGTGAGGAGGAGGAAGAAGGCAACACAGGAAGGTCAACACTAACAAAGCTAAAGTATTCTGTTATAACTATCTGGTTTTCCGTCATTCTCCCAGCGCGGGCGTGTGCCACAGCTTCCAGGCTCTACTACTACTACTACAGCCAGACGCTCGACCGGTTTGCTATCCTACACTGGGGGAAGAGTATAGAGATATGAAAAAACCACCCGCATCTTCCGCGGGGAGAACTCTGGTTAATGTGTCGCAGAGTGGTGGGGATATCGCGTGAATGTTGCGTAATTGGGCATGGTTTGCGAAGGCTTAATTGTGTCTTCAGTCTTTATAATGTTGTTATTAATTTAACGAAGGAGAAGCGTTACCTTCCACGTGTGGAGAGACACCGATGTTGAGTTGTGCCTCACTACTGGTTGAAGGTACTGTTGCTTCCATCGCATCTACATAGAGTCAAGCAAAGCGTCAAGTCAAGTGAGAGCCGAGTAAAGACGCCCTTGACAGAATTCCGAACGCGAGATCCAGGGCCTACATATGTGGGGTGGTCAGTTAATGGTTGCGCAGCGCGAGCGGTCAGTTTTCTTTAATGCGAAGCATTTCTTGGCGAACTTCGGCGACTTTGATCGCAGCTATCTATCTAGCCGCCTAGGACTTTTAGCTCTCATGGCCATTTCGATAATGGTATCGATACCAAACTTGGTATGGCATAACATGACTGTATGAAGAACATATTTAACTAGTCATAACATAAAAATCATGACATGTATGCCATGATTGTCATGCTTTATGTTTCAAAGTCCTGCAGCTCTTGCGGTGGTTTCGTTCACATGGCATGTTGCAAAACCGGTATGGTATGGCATAATTGCATGGCAAACACAAGTGACAGACACTAACATGAAAATTACGACATCCGTGTCATGTAACAACATGACTACATGCCACGCTAATGATGTGCTCGCGGCCGTTTCGCTAGCGCCACATATACCAAATTTGGAATTATGGTACGTGAATGGATGAGGAAGGTATGGGACTGGTGCAAACATGATAAACATGAGATGCGCGTCATGTAACAACATGACTACATGCGACGCTAATGATGCGCTCGTGGCTGTTCCACTAGCTTCATATGTACCAAACTCGGTATTACGCGACGCGAACGGACGACATAGGTAAATGACAAATTCAAACATTATAATCACGACCTGCGTGACATGTAACACCATGACTACAAGCCACACTGATTATGCACTCGCAGCCGATTTGCTATAGCTTCACATATGCCAAATTTGGTATTACGTGACGTCAATGGATGACGAAGGTATGTGATTGGTGCAAACATGATGATCATGAGATGCGCGTCTTGTGAGAACATGACTACATGCCACAGTCAAGGCGCCAATATATTTTGACGCGACGCAGTGCGCGTGCTCGCCGGCGTTGGCACAACAGGCGCCGGTACTGCCATAAACTCGCAGGCGCGCGCCGCGCTGCGTTGCTTTGAGGCATACGTGTTTCAGCGCGT